CCACAAAGGATCAGACATGAAACCCAGCACAACCAGCACTCTCGCCCTTCTCTGCGGCTTCATCTGAGCGAAACGCAGTGAGGTCTGGGCTCCTCTGGTCCATCCAGTAAGTCTCATCCCAATCTCCACTGCTTAAGAGCTACTCGAAGAACACGCAGCTCCCTTCTGAAGGTTATCAGCATTAATTGCAACTTCGCCAGATACTCTTGATACATATGTGAGATACTGGTTTCAGGACTGTCACGCAGCCAGTTCCTCACTTCTGAGAAGGTATTTATTCTCTTTTACCAGTTTTAAGCCTGCCATTTTTAGACTTCATCAGATGCTTCCATATTCTTGTGTAGCAGAGAACTAAAAATCCTTGTTCATGCCTCCTGTGCTGGAACTGGAGTGGAGAAATCAGGAGAACTGGTGCACCCTAAGAACAAGCATCTCACAGCTAGGAAGCATCCTTAGCAGACCCCTTTTTAAACCCACAAAGGACTAAGTTACTCTGTGGTGCTGTATGAGCAACCATAATAAGCTGCTCCTGAATACTCCAGAAAAAATACAGTAAGCATAGGTTTAAAATCAAGCACATTTTTTTCTGATTAACAAAAGCCAAACACCCTTGTGAAGGTTGTAAATGCTCATCAACAGCAAAACCTATTTTTTTTCCCTTTCACTGAAGAAAACACGACATTCAAACTGGAGAAAAGGCTGTTTACCAAGGTAAGATTTGGATGTTGTTAAATGACACAGAGAAGACTAAAAACATACAGCAGCAAACACAACTGCCTTTTTTCTTGAAATCTCAGGTCCATACAAGCAGTTCTTATAGAAAAAAAATACAATTGCATCCCCACTGCAGGAATGAAACCTATTTCATGCAAAGACAGATGATCTGAGTGCTCTTTTACAGGCCTTATCTAATTTGTCTTGTTCAGTTTTATTGAAATACACACACGCTTTCCATCTATATCATACCCAGGCTCATTAAGCTCACAGGTGTTCTGAAGGCGTCTTTTTCAGGCAGTGCCATCTATGAAATACAAATCACTACATCCACGCTGGTTACAAGCGCTCGTCCCTGGCGTTTGCTGTACAGGAGCGAGGAGTCAGACCTGCACGGGAACGACTCTCACACGCTTCCCATCTATATCATACCCAGCATCTGTAAGGCTCATTAAGCTCACAGGTGTTCTGAAGGCGTCTTTTTCAGGCAGTGCCATCTATGAAATACAAATCACTACATCCACGCTGGTTACAAGCGCTCGTCCCTGGCGTTTGCTGTACAGGAGCGAGGAGTCAGACCTGCACGGGAACGACTCTGCTGCCCCGTAAGACATCAGGATGAGAGAATTGCTCTCGTCCAGCTTTACTGCTCCTGGACAAAGGTCAGGGAGAACTTTATTTTAAATATTCACGTTCTCCTTGTCTTTCTTTTTGGCCTATGAAACAGAGGAAACCACAGCAGAAGAAAAAATACCTAATTTATACTTTGGAAAAGGCCTTACTTCAAACAGCCTGATATGGGAATTGTTGAGGATGGGGGTTTTTTTCAGCTATAAGCTACTTCTGCAGAGAAAAAAATTAAGTTGGTGATTCAAAAACAGACTTTTCACAGAAGGGATAGTTCAAGTAGTACTGACAAAAGATTTGGCATTATTCCTCCTGGAGACTTGTTCTAGTGTTTATTGTCCAAAATAACCCTTGAGACTTTTGCACAGCCTGAGCGTGTGGAAGGATTCATTGACATGCAGAGCTCAAAATTCAAACACATTGCACTAGCAAAGGCAGACGCCGGTCCAAGCTGTGGCTGTAACTCTCAGCTGACATATCAACAAGATGTTCCCCCTTTCTGCCCTCATCCTGACCTACGCCCTGCCACGCTTCACCTATTTTTGCCTTCTTGGAGAAAAGAGTCAGTAGAGTCAACACGCAAGAACTGCTGCTTCAGTAGGTGCCAGCCCAGGTGACAATTCTGGACAAATTCAAGCCAAAGAGGCAAAAAAGATGAAGCGATGGGCAGACTGGCAAAAGTATTCAAATGCCTGAAGGTCTAGACAAGCTCAGGGGGGAGAAGTAGAAAAGCATCTAAGCATTTCAGTCCTATGGGCTACTTCGGCAGTCCTGTGAAAACTTCTGTAAGGACCTTTGGGTTTCCTTGACTCAACCATCCTCCAGACCCACCTGTACTTGGCTGATATAAATTTTAAAGCTGACCTCACGTTAATCAAAGGTGAGTATCTTACCTGGAAGACTGGAGTTGAGACTCTTAGCTCCACCTTTCTGGCAGCTGTAACTCACCTCACTCTCCATCAGCCTTCAGCACTCAGTAGGAGAGCAAGACTTTTGCCACATTGGATTTCAGCCACTTTCCCAGTTGACTCCTCCCTAGCTACAAGGAAGCAAACAGAAACACAACCTCTCTCTCCCTAGAGCTGAGGGCAAAAAATAGTGTGTCTGTGGATTTCAGCTTGCCAAATCTAAGTTTCAGATGGCAAAGTCCTCATTTTAGTGATAACTGAAGACCCAACTATGGCTTTACCAAACTATTGAACTAGAGGAATGGTAAGAAACCTTAAAACACAGCTGCAGAAGACCTTTGCCCTGCAACAGCTTTCATGCTGGCATTTCCCCAGTTGAGTCCCCAGCACACCATTTTCAAAATTTAAACTTGCTTCAGGAAGGGAGCAGGCTGTTTCAGTGAGATACTCCACATTCGCATGCCCTTATGTGCTCACAAAACAGCTGAAACACCTCCCAGCATCTGGGGGAAGCAAGTTAAGAAAAAAAAATAAATTATTCCCATAAAGCAAACAACGCCCACCCAGCCTGGAAGAGTGCCTACAGCTAAGCACATGTTAAACAACCACTGCTACATTTCTCTTACTAAAGAAAAAGATGGTACTTCACTTCCTGGGAAAAAAAAATTGTTTTAGGCATTTTGAAAGGCTCATTAAGCTCGCAGGTGTTCTGGGGATGTCTTGGTTCCAGCACTGCAGTGAATATCCCACGCTGACTCTTCCTTTGTTGCTCAAGTGCAAGATTCAGGCTTAAAACAGGGAAGGGAGATCATGGCATACGCAGAGGCCCTGGGAAAAGAGGTGGATGCCACAAGGATTGCCACTGAGGTGCTCTCCTAGTGATATCCATTTGGACACTGACAGAGGAGGCAAAAGTAGAGATAGCTGTACTGCAAAGGCACCTAAGAAATAATTTGGCTTGTCAAAGAAATAGGGAGTTTCTCTCTGCACAGTAGCTAACGCCGCCCAGCAGCGGGAGCTGTATGCCAGCACTGAAGGCAGGTATGTCTCAGCTGTGACCCGTGTCGTGACTGAAGTGACATTTTCCTTCCAAACTAAGGGAAAGGAGCGAAGACCAGTATTTTCATTATGGTTACTCCATCACCAGCAGATTGGTCTTACTCGAGACCTGTTCAGGACAGCTTCAATGCTGCCTGAAAACCTTTTAACTTCTTTAAGTGCAGCCACAGTGCTTTCCCTTGAACTGGCATTTCTGGGCTTTGTTGGTGGTGTTTTTTTATCCTCGTCAGCAAGAACCCTTTCATCTTCAACTCCTCCACGGCAGGCACCACATTTACCTGCCTGTTACTTCAGGAAGGCTCCCAAGGCAGTCTGAATAGGGTTCAATTGTCTAAACAAGGGTTTCTAGCACCATTTTAGGTGCCAGACTCCCAGCTGCTGTGACAGAAGGCTGTGCGTCTCCTCCGCGCCCTAGCTCATCCGTGCCAGCACATATGGATGTGTCTCATCACTGGGGACAGCTGAAGGGGCACAAGACCCTGATAATCAGGCACCTGGACTGCTCCTCCATCTGTATCCTCCACAGTTCAGGAAGGTACTGTTTGTAATCTATTGCTTCCTCCTGAAGCATTTCTCTCATGCAGAAAATAAGTGATCTGAACTTTGGGAACACCTTCTGGCTACCCCAACTCTGTTACCCGGGTCATTTTTCACAAAAGATAGTCAAAATGAACACAGGTACTGAGGATGGAGATCATCATTTGCAACTTAAGTACTAGTAAAAAAACCCCCCAAACTATGAACAACCAAAACAAAACAAAAAACACATAAGCATTTCAAAGCAAAAGAATAAACGTATGTGAAAATACAACAAAAAATAAAAAGGGAAGGATTAGGCAGCAAGATTTGGTGAACATTTCCCTGCAGTTGCTGATGAAGTCTCTGATGCGGAGGCAGGCATCTCCAGCAAACAAGCTGTCAAGCAGGCTTCAGTCAATCAACTCCATAAAGAGAAGAGGATTGCTGGATAGAGCTAGCTGCAAATGCTGCTGTCTCTGAGCATTCGTATCCCTTGCTGTGCTAACCCTCAGTCAGACTGGAATTTTCCAATGCAATCAGTCGTGTGCTTGATTTCAGGTGCTTCTCTGAGATGCTTCAAAGCTAAATTCCCCCCAAAGGCTTAAAATGAAGCTTCAGGAAAAGAAAACAGGATCTTTTGAGGACTCATGCCAGATATCAAAAGGACAGACACATGGAATCACTAAACAGTTTTTACAACCTCAGCTGAAATCCTCTTTTAGACTCCAATATACACATTTACTGCTTCTAGCAAGGGAAAAATGCAAACAAAATCACAAAATACTGTCTAGAAAGCATATAGTAGGAGATCAGCAAATCAGATGTGTTTTAGTGTCAATTACTGCCTTTGTGGCTGATCAGTTTGATAGATTCACCTGCATACAAAACCCATACTATGCCACCCCATCTGTAAACAGTTTTGAAGCGATCGGGCAGCACAGTTAAAAGGGAGGTGTCCCTCACCTCACACATTATTGTCTTTCAAGCATTAGCAACTGGATTTATGTCAAGTATTCATATGAAAGAACTAGATTCCTTACACTCTTAACAACCAAAACAAGAAAAAACAGAAGAACATTTATCTTAAATTGTTAGGACTAGTACAAAGCATTAAGTTTATGCTATCACCATTTCTGAACTCTCCATTTCCCTTTCACCCAGCCCTTTATTTACCTTGAATCCCCAAAGGACTAACATTGCCTCTCAATGCTGGCACATGATGGTACCGGTGTGGCCTTGAACTCCTGTACATCCAGTGGTACCTGCCAATTTCCATTTCTGGTCTGGTGATCACTGCCAATTTTAGGTGGTAAAAAGTCAGTGTCACCAGCAAGTTGTAGTTCAGCACTTTCAGTCATTTAACTTTAAAAATACGAGCCCAGAAAAACACGCCATAGTTTCAGAACTGAAACAACACCACCTTACAAACCAAGGAAGGGGGCGGGAGGGATGACTGACAGGGAAATGCTCACACAAGTGTTAAGTATGGTTAAATGGCAAAAATTCCACCTAAGATTTGAATTAAACATATAAGGAAGGACGCTCTACTCCTTCCCCCCACCCACACTCATGCCTCCCTTTCTTTGTCCACGGCAAAGAGCTCTGCTCCAGAAGTAGAGGAAGACAAAGTCAGGGAAAAACACATTACCTGTTTTTTTTTAAAAGACCCTTAATCTGTCAAAGAAAGCGGTTAGTGTCACGTGCAGAGGTAAGGCAAACACAGGAGTTCGCTCTGTTACTTTCTTAACTCTGTTACTTTCTTAAGCTGTGGGCTTCATTTCACATAGGCTCTGCTCACGTCCAAAAATCTGGACGGAGTATGTTAAAACAGACTCGTTCCAGGTTTACGATGACGGAGAGCAGTTATCCCGCTCCTTGTCTTCTCAGAGGACAGATGAAGCTCAGCAAGGAGACCCCACAGGCAATAACACACCCACCCTCCTTGCACACTCATCGCACACACATCGCACACACATTCCAAGCCCCCTGAAAGAGGCCACTGGCAAAACCACATCAAATCACTTTGGAAACTACACGTCCTCACCTCGGCAGTGCTACCTGGCTTTGTCAAGGCTGTCGGGGTGAGACAGAGAGATCTTAATTTAAAATGCACCAGAGTCCCACTCTGTGGTGCCTTAAATGAGAAAGCAACTGTCATCTCTGGCCAAAATAAATCCCATTCTGCAGCGTTTGGGCACGTGGAGGAAGTGAAGGTTACAACACTGAAAACCCATCTACTGCAGACTAGATCAGAGATGACTTTCAAGGGGCAGAGGTAGCAGGAATGCCATAAATTTTTGGCCTGTGAGAGGCTAGAAAGGTCCTGGAGCTGGTGTTTTTGCTACTGGTGCAGTGAGGAGTTTGGCACAGCCATATTTGCATGTGTCAATAGGAAAAAAAACAAAAAAACCCCAGAAATCTTTTTCTCTAATGCAAATGCTGGATCTAGAGATTTTAAACAATTTGTTCACCTCTTACACCGGCAAATGAACTCCAACACTAAAACAGTTTTCTGGGTTTGGGGTGCAAACTTACTATCAATGGCTCTCTAAAGGATATTTTACAGCTTGGAATTTTTCCCCTCTCTGCGACTCACACACGAACCATTGAACAGGTACAAGGCAGTATTTTTTGTCTTAAAAGACATTATTCCATTTTGTACGGCTTACTCTTCCTTCTGGGAAAGGCAAGTTCCACATCTCATGAACATAATCAAATTCAGAATGTGTTGAAAGCATTGTTCCAAAATGACTGTGCATGCTTGGGATGATATCATCTCCTTCGGCTTACACAGGAACAATTCTGTTTATGAGATCACAAGGAACGCCATAATAATTGAATTGGACACAAACTGGAAAATAACAGAATTCCTTGGCTAGTACTGCATCCAGTCTCTCTCTCCCTCCCAAATGTCTGTTTTCTGCTTTTTTGAAGCTACTTGCTGGACCTGGTAAATCTGAATCTGGTAGCGGATTCAGATTTAAAAACAAGGAAATTCAAACCGATCAGCTGCAAAGGCTTCCATGAAGTAAAAAACCCTTGTCATTTGCACTGCAGCAGCATCTAGACCAACCCTTGGCACCAAAAGGATTTTATCCTATCAGGCCTGAACCTGCAATTCAATATTTCTCCTCCAGTGGCTACAAAAGCCACTTGCTCAGAGCAGCAGAGCAGGCTTCCTTAGCCTGGGGGGAGACACTGGTGAAGTCACCACCATCTGCTGTGGGGCAAACATCAAGCCCTGAGATGCGGAGATAGCATGTGAACTTTTCTGTAAGCGGAAACACTCTATGAGGTTGTTTTTGGTATTTTTTTTTTAATTAGCAATTTCTGGGTTTGCAATAACAGGGCTCCTTTCATTAGAAGTTGGTTCAGACTCCGTAAGGAATCTCATTTTTTCCACTGCTCTGCAAAAAGCCACTTGACAATGGCTGCTTGGTAGCCCTCATCCCATTCCTGGCACGACCTCTGAAGCTCAGGAGTATTTCTTGGTGATTTTGCTGGGACCCACTCACGCCTGCTCATGCAAAATCATGTCAAAAGCCCCACAGGCTTCAAGTGGCCCAACAACTGCTGCACACGTCCAAATGAGGAGTTTAAAACTCTGTACCTCAGACAGTTAGAAAAAGAAATAGCTTGCCCAGAGAGGTGGTGGAAGCCCCATTCCTGGAAGTTTTTAAGGCCAGGCTGGATGGGGCTCTGGGCAGCCTGATCTAGTGGGGGATGTCCCTGCCCATGGCAGGGGGTTGGAACTAGATGATCTTTAAGGTCCCTTCCAACCCTGACAGTTCTATGATTCTATGACTTCTTTATCTTCTTTACGAGGAACTAACTACACTCTTCGCAGGTGACAACACCTACCCGCGCACGGCCACGTTGGTGCAGCTCGAGGCCTCCTGTCAGAACCGGGTTTCAGTCGGTCCTGGCTCAGACACAGCAGCTACAGAACTGACGACGTTTTCATGTCCCACTCGCGGGCGAGGCTGCTGGTGACTGCGGTGTTCAGTATTCATCGGGATGAATCATTTTGCACGCCTGCAACAAAATTCCCAGCGCCCAACATCCTCAACGCTCGCTGCCTTTAGCATATGGTCGGAGAGGAAACAAACAGTTATGACACTCGTTCGTCGCAGCTGACGGAGCAGCCCACGGGGGCGAACAGAGAGGGCTGTCGTTCGGCTGTTTATGAGCTCGTGATGAATACTGCATGAGGGGCAAGGCTGGCCAGAAAATGGGGAAGGGTCAGAGCAACCGAAGGGGATTCTCCCCCCCACCTCTTTTAGCCCCTTTGCTCCCGCTGCAGAGCCCATTGTGCACACACGGTGCCATCTGGGTTCCCCACCCCCCCACGCCATCGCCATATCCCGTGGCACATATGTCTAGGTTTTCTGCTTTCATGAGGTCATTCAGACCAGTATGAGCGTGTTCTCCGAGTGCTTTTCAAACCCCCCTCCTATTTAGAAACCAAATCCTATTCATTAAAACCTAAATCACTAAGCCTGCCAAATTATTATCCCCAGAATATCGCGTGTCCCAGATTCTCCCTGGGCTGGACCTCTATTCCTACAGTCGTATTCTTCAGGGACTTATACTTAAAGCAGTTATTGTTTTCAGGAGATCTGAAACACCAGTAAACTGCTTGGAATGAGAAAAAATAACATTCTGTGAAATAAGCAGCGTAGTAAAAATCTGTCAATAGCTTGACAGCTCTGATATCACGGTGGGAGCCTAAGATTAAAGGGGCATATTTGAAAATTTTGGTTATTAACAATAACATGTATATTTTAAAAAGGTATTTTCTCAATTTGCTGTAATGAAAAATACATCTATCTGTGAAACACCAAAATGTCATAAGCTCACCTCATAAAATGAACCTCACTAAAAGTGAAATAAACTGCACAGTACTTCCCTCCTTTCTCATGTCTCACTTCTAACAGCTTCATCTACACTATCACAGAGAATTGTACAGTTGCGTTTAAAAGAAGTATTTGCCTTCTATTTTTGATGAGCATATACTTGTCTATTCAGAGGTTAAAAGCAGAAAGACTACTTCGTATTTGAAGAAACTAATAAAACTCACAGCTACTCCTGAGCACGAGGTCTTCTTTCATCGAGAGCACATTAATAGGGAAGAGCCAATTAAAAGGAACCTTCCGTACAGCTGCTCAGGCTGGTTTCCATTATTCCTCAGCAAGGCATATGCAATTTAAACATCATATATATTCATAAAAGGAAGCTATAGCCTAGTGTAATGGCTTTCTTCCATCCTCCTACGTGTATTTGGTGAATCCACCATGGTCATCCACAGTTGGGTTTTATTTTGGTTGTGTTTTATTATTTGGTTTGTTCAATTTTGTAACTTAGTAGTATTTCTCATAGTTAAATTAAAAGGGAAACTTCTTGTCTCTGTTAATGTGTATCAGGATCTATATCCTTCACTGCTGATACAAAACGGCATTTCGTTTTTCTTATTTATTCCACCTCAGTAAATCTGCCTGCCCAGTCCTCACGTTTTGATTTAATTTAATGCCTGCAAGATAAACCCTGTCATTTGCAATAATTTGTAAACCTTCATCTTTAAAATGCATCCAATCTGTCCTGCAGCCCTGTAAAGTATATGTTAAACATTTTGCTTCAGCCTGCTCATGGTGTTCTCCTCTGATAAGGGCTGCTGATACACAGTATAAAGCTGACTTATTTCTTATCTCCATCAACATGGGTGGTGTTCCATTTCCAATTAAAAAAACTGGGGCAGCAGCCACTCATCTGTGTGCAGATAAACAAATGTCTGATCAACACTGAATCCATCAGCTGGGTAACAGCACTGCCAGAATCAGGCAAGGGATTCATGAAAATTGTTAAAATATAAAACTTGAATTCATATACGATTTAGCAAACTTTAAAACCCCAGCTAAGACGGTTTTCATTTATCAATCAGTAATTATTCATAAAGAGCATTAGCCTGTGCAAATTGTCTCAGATAAACAACAATCCAGAATAGCTGGACACAGAAACCAGAAACACAAGCCAGTACCTATGTGACAACACTGCCCAGATGTGACTGGTTTAGGTGCTCGAGATGAAAAAAGATCTCTCCAGTGCTCTCCTCACAAGTGTAGAGAGCCCTGCATATAGATGGCATGTAGTCCTAGCCCAACTTCCTACACGTATGTATTCTGTACAGTTACAGTACACCATTGAGGAGGCTCGTGCATTAAAATATCACAACTTGGAAACCTGTAGTTTAAAATTCTGGCAACTCTAAGATGAAAAGCACAATTTGCTATTAGTCAAATGCAGGTACTTTGCCCAGAATGTGGCAGTGCAAAGCACGCTGTGTGTGAACCTGAATACCCCAAGTGAAATGCTCGGGATCTTCTCTTGTTCAACCTAAGCAACAGCAAAACCCCTCAAACCCCTTCAGATGTTGGTGTATCTCCTTGGCCTTTGGAATTCTTTTCTGGAAGGAAGAGATAAAAGACCTTGTGATAGCACCTTGACTGCTCCAAGCTGTGGCGCCTGCCTTGCAATCGCTGGATCTGGGGCATCTCGGAAAGGACAGCCATTACGCCAAGATCAGGTGGGATCTTAGAGGAAGAAGCAAATGTTGCGAGCCTGGCGAGCATGTAAGGCAAAGCAAGAAGGTGACCCGGTCCAGGCAGTAAATGGACACATTTTTGAAGGCATCAGCTTCCGTTCTATACTGCAAAACGAAGCAGCAGCATTTTCCTGGAAGTTTCTTCACGCAGAGAAAAAGCTCTTTCCTCTCCAAGAAAGCTGCTGGTGGAAAAAAGCTGCTGCTTTTGAAAAATCCTGCCATTCCAGAGGTACCCGATGCCTGCTGAGCCCATCCAAAAACCTGTCCTGGGCTCAACAGTCTTAGCACTTTGGAAAACCTGTCGTGTCGTGTGTGTCCCCTCAGCCGAATATACCTCCTACACCACCACTTCATGGCAGTAACTTTGCAGGGGGATCTGGGCTATTTATTTTGCTACTGAAACAAAGAGCAGGACTGTTTCAGTTTTCTGCATTTCAATTTGCTGTGAAACATACTGAGTATTTAAGGGAAGAGAAATAAAGAGCATAATGTGAGAGACCATGTGTTACTTTCAGAAATCAGGAAACTGGCCAGAACAAAGCCTTCAAGCGTTACACCACTAACCCGTGTAACAGAACCAAAATATAAAACTATGACAGAAAAACTAGGAAATGGTGGTAAAATCAGGAGAGGAGGTTCTTCTGCTTGCATTCTCTGAAAGCAACAGATCAAGCACCTTGACTTGGTAACAGATTTACTGTTCAACATGTTGTGCTTTCATCCTTGCCAAAAGGAAAGGGAAACCATAAACTCATCATAAACACACTCAGCAACACATTTCTTGCACAGCTGCTAATGCATACAGAAACTTCCTTGGGTGTTTATTGTACGTGAGTTCTATTGGTTTAAAACAAACTCATCCATCAGAGGAAAAAAATTGATGTAATTTTTGAAGAATGATCTATGATTTCAAGGTGGGTTTATAGCCAAGGTATTTAGGACATTTTGTACATTAAATACACTCTGCAGTGAGGTGGGTTATTGTCCACATACACTAATGGCTTTCAGAGTTTAATCTCTCATCAGTGGACCTCCTTTTGTGAAATCCCTAAGGGATTATGTAGTACTATGTCTAATCACTTGACGCATTTCATTTACCTGAAACTGAAGCTAGATTTGAATTAGACACAAAGCATGTAGGAAGAATCAGGTTCAGAGTAGGAAAACAAAATCTTGCACAGGACAGTATCAGGATTTATCATTACATTCATACATGAACTGTTAACAAGCGAAACAACTCTGCTTGAGGAATTGTGTAAGCATGTATCAGCTGCATATGTCTTTGAGATAGGTTGTTTATAAACAACACACAACAGGTTCATAAGTACACTGTGACTCACGTAAGAAGGCAGTGGAAATTTTAATAATTTTGTTACTGCCCTATCATATAGCAAAAAAACATAGCTATGATTTGCACAGCAGTCAGCTACACTAAAGAGGGACATTTATTTAGCATCATTATATGATGCAGAAACAAACCAGTCCTTTCCTAGTTGAAATTATCCTCTTAAGTTCAACACTCCATTTCAAACAAATCACCTGGAGGGCCAGAGTGGATGAAGCACCTCTCCCCCTGCACCGCTGTCTCCCTACCATGGAATTGCTACCATGGAATCATTCTCTCCATTAAGCAGCAATTCTTGGTGATTAACACGTCCTGAAACCTAACGTTGTGAAACTCACAGCATTATTCCCTCTTATCCACAGCACAAGCAGATCTCTACCAAAGCAAAATTTGTCGGACAACACCATCGAAAAGGAAAAAGAATTTTAAATCGAGCAGCAGTCAGCACCAACCTGGCTACACAAAGGTTGTGTGATATTATAATCTGTCATAAAGTTACTATAACCTAGGTCTCATGCTAAGCGTTACAAAGCCTTGCTACATGGCTAGCCTCAATGAAAACACCAGATCACGGCTCTGATAATGACACGCAAACACACAGGCATACGCTACTTCTGTAAACCAAATCTACCAAAACCTGTCAAAGACATAGCAAAAACAAGACTTCTTTCGCAAACATCGCTTTAGGTAGGGTTAGGACAGGTTGAGAGCAAATACAGACGCAGACAGAAAGATCGCTGCTCTATTAATTTGTTGTCAAGCCATGCAGGAACGGACGGCTGAGCCCGAAGATGCAGTAATGATTGTTTAAGAGCTATTCGAAAAAGTGGCAAAACTGGCCTAAACCTCTTTAAGCCCCTTGAATGAAAAGATTTAAACAGGCTATTGTCAGACCCCTGGGTACCTTTTTTCTCTTGGCTTTGTTCTGCATTTTCCTCCGCTGCAGTTTCCATGGCTGGCTTCATACCATCCACCAAAAATGCCGCCCCCCCCTCCCCCCCCAGCAAGCACTTTTTCTCTTCGCCTCCTTTTCTCACTCCCTTCCGTCTCGTATTTACGGCGGCAGTGATTGAGCGGCTCTCTCTTCTCCCCTACAGTAGATTACAGTCCTTTCCAAAACGCCAGAAAAACTTGGGTCAGCTTCAATTCCGCTCCTCTGACTGGTCCCCGAGGAGCCGTGCCAGCGAGCGCTCAGCCATACGTCACCGCGGTCCCCAGCTATAAAATCGCCATCCTGCGCCCGACCCTGCCCCAGCTCGCCGTGTCGAGGGGACCGGCATCGCGCCACTTTCCCCTCGCTCTCCGCTCTCCCCCTCTTCCCCCTGACGAATGTTAATCAATTCTCCAGGGTGGTGAATGCATCGGTGACATCGGGTGGGGAGATGCGGGAGAGAAAGAAAGGAACCCCCCGGCTGCCATGGGGGGAGCCCCCTG